TAAAGGCACAGGGACACACAAGGGACCCCGCACATCACAACGGCAGCTGAGGCCCCCCATGCGTCACTGCACCAAATCAGCCAAGCAAAACAAATGGCAAACGCACTCATCAATTCGTTACCAGCTTTACAGCGCGGTGCACATGAAAGGGCTTCATACAGTACAACAGCAAAAAAATTCCCAGCACACTCACCAGCCAGCAAACCGCACTATATGGAGGTGCTTTGACGCGGCCGTGCAGCTTTCACATATTCTGCAGAAGACGTGTATCTAAACCTCCGTTTTTAACCTTAGCGGTGAGACAATTTTTTTTGCATGCTGGCTGGTGAGTGTGCTGGGAAAACTTTTATGCTGTTTGTACTGTATGAAGCCCTTCCGTGTGCGCCGCGCTGTAAAGCTGGTAACGAATTGATGAGTTCTTCCGTTAAAGGAGCCGCGTGTGACGCCGGCAGACCTGATCAAAGCTCGGCTGTAATTAGCCACATCTGGCTGATCGCGGCCCTTTAATTCAATCAGCGTCCGCGCCTCGATTTTTCATGCATTAGCACTTCAAAGGTTTGTGTGACCGGGAATGGCAGCCAGCACCTCGAACAGAACATTTATGTCAGGAAAACAAAAATTTCAACACAAAGGACAATTATTTTAAAAAAAAAAAAAAAAAAACAGAGCAGACGAATGAATGCCGAACTTAAAGGAGAACTCCGTCCGATCCAGGAGATACAGAAAAAGGACAACGTGCCGCAGAACGCACGAGCGCTGCGTCACTTCATAATATGGCTTAAAGGAGAACTCCAGATTGGACTTTGCTGCGGAGGGGCTCCGGACTCCATTTTGTGTCCTGTACATACATAGAGCTCCATGTTCTGCATGCCATGGAGGCCCCTTTGTGTACTCTCCTCCGCCAATGGCTTTGTGGGAACTTCAGGCCGCGCACCATCGAGTCCCTGCAGCCAATTACTGACGCAGCTGGGTGTTGTTTTAGCGCCCCCGCTCTGGAGTCCTCAGTACTACAGGGGTGATGTAACGAGCGAGTGGTCTAATGAGCAGCCAATTAAAAATCTGATGAGTACATATTAATCTCTTCATGCGGGTGATGAACGGTACTGGCAAGACCCTCAGCGTCCATACTCGTACCCTCAGGGGTGATTACTCCAAGGACCGTGCATCCACTGAACCACATAGGCAAATGGTCCGTGTCCGGACAGCGGTCCTCTGCAGTCACTGGTTGCTGGGACCGCTGGCCAGTCCTGGCAACCAATGATGTCAGGACCTCCTCTGCAGGTACTAGTTGCTAGGACCGCTGCACAGTCCTGGCAACCAATGACGCCATGGGTCCTACTCCTCTGCAGATACTGGTTGCTAGGACCACTGCGCAGTCCTGGCAACCAATGACATCTGGGATCCTCCTCTGCAGGTACTGAATTCTAGGACCACTGGGAAGTTCTAACAACTAGTTCCAAAGTCTTCCCGCCATCAGCATTAGAGGAGGATGTCCCTAGTGCTGGGGTGTCCGTCCTCTTCAGCAGTTCTTGGTGGTGTCCCTCCTGCAGCTCTACCTCTGGCAGCAGGTAAGTGCCACATGGTATGTGGGGACAATAAGGGCCCATTCACACCTATGCGGTAACGCGCAACACATCTACTCTGTCACTGTTACATTGGGGCAGGTGCATTGCATGCATTACTTTCTTCAATCGCACCACGGCATTGCAGGAGTTGCGTTGGGGGTGCCATTCAAATGAATGACAACGCAACGCAACTGCTGCACTGTAAGGCACAGTAAGTGCGTTGCATGATACAGTACCTTGCGCTAATCATGAGAAACTGGGACTGTTGTGAAGGGCCAAACCAATAGGCCCTACTGGTC